TCCACTCGTCCTTCCACCTCATCCTCGTGATCCTTGACGGCAGCATAATTGATGCACTCGAGCGTAAGTGATTAGATTCATTATGATGCCTGGCAGGCAATGGCAACGACTCTTTGTTTTGGGGGGACTTAACAAAGCGGGGTATCAGGTGTCCACCAGCGAATTGAAATGATTCTGAAATTCATAATAAATGTCTTATAATTTTTAAACAATTTAAAACATAAAAAAACTGGGGATCCTAGCCTGGGACTGCCCGCTGCTGCTAAATGATGTGTGACAACATTTTTATTGCCCGCTCTAGTTCACCCTTATTTTGCAATGGTAGGGGTAAAAGCCAACGTGCGCCAACATTAATCAAGGCATTCTAAAGATTCAGATACACATTTATGAGTATATTCATGCGTTTTTAGGGTAAAACACAAAAAACGAAAGCAACAACAGAGAGCGGCACACGCCGGGCGACAAAAGCATTTGCTTCCGGTATGCCGCCTGTCACAGGGATTTCTACAGTGAACAAAAAAGTATATACCCTTAATATAAAATCTGCGAAAAATTTACTATTAAAATTTTTTATTTAAATATTAACAACTCATATTATACATATTTTTATACAGCATTTATTATTCATTTTCGTCCTTAAAATTATGTATTTTTATTCAAATAATTAAAAATATATTTTTAGATTAATTTATTTATTTTCCAAGGAAAACGTTTAATTTTTTAAAGTGTGAAAAATGGGAACGGCAAGTGGGCGGTGTAGTAGATGGAGTGCCTGTGCATTCTAGCTTGAAATAAAGTTGCACTGACTGACGCTTTTCGCCTTTTGTGCTCCGCTTTTATTGTTATGCGGCAAGCGAAGAGAAAAATGTATTTCAAATGAATAAATATTTCTTCTATGACCCTAATGGATTTCGTTGTTGTTGTGTGACTGACAAAGAGTCGAGTCCTAAATGGAGGCATATGCTAATTAGGAAAGCGAAGAGTTATCCTAAGATATGGGGCTTGCAAATGGAACTAATAAAATAAATGCCTATTTATTTTTTAAGAAAGATAGTTGTTTAGGTATTTTTTTTATTATTTTAGCAGTAATATGCTGACTAACAGAGTTTTATAAATTTATTAAATTCCAAAAAACGATTAAAGTTAAATTCTCCACGGAGCAGACATCTCATATACCTCCATTTCAACGCCTCCCCTCTGAGTTTCCTTCATATCTCAGTCGCTTCCAGCTATTTGCACACAAACAAAAATAAATATTAAATCTCAGAAATCGTTTTTGGGCAGAGACACACCACTCTTAACCCCCGACCTGCAACCTTCCCTCATTCGAAGTTTGGGTTTATTACTCTTACTATGTGGCACGCTTATCGACGAGCGCAGCGTTTAGTTTCGTGATTGAGTGGGTGGACATGTGGATTGACAGCATGAGTCGGCTGGATCCACAGAAGCTCATCAATTTTGTGCCTGCAACCTGTGTGGGAAAACCACTGGCATACTTTTGCGGATTCCGAGTTGAAATTCAAGCGCTTTTAAAGTCGTCACATTTTCGGCTGGTAATTAAAACCGCGTGAAACCCTTTTACTGACGGTAATCCGCAGATAACCACCCCACCCCAAAATCCACCCATAAATCAGACAACGAAAAGCCATACATCATAGACACCATGGGGAATCCCCCGAAAAAAGTATATACACAAAGATGACACGGCTGCAAAAGTTATTTTGTAATTAGTGCAAAAGGCAAAGACTACGGGAGAGGACTCAACAGGACAACAGGATAATGATGATTATGCTGGCGCAATGAAATTGAAGACGACTTCCGGCCGAAGCCGAAGCTGAAGCTGCACTAATTACCGCTGACGTGCGATGGGAACTGAAGCCAGGACAGATTTCCCCCGATTCCACAGGATCACAGGATAAAACTCCGTCCGGGGGTTCTGTCAACTCAAGTTTGACACTTTTTTGCCGACAATTTATGAGAGTATTTCGGTCACAGTGGTTTTTTGGAACATTTTTTTAAAATAATTTGAAAGGAGCAATAGTTCCAATAAAAAATAATTTGATAAGGTACCAATATAATTATGTATAAAGCAAGTATAGATGATTTGAGTAAGGACGAACAAGAGAATATTTTTGCATAGCTAAGCAAATTACATGATTTCATTTTAAACTAATTTTAAATAATGTGGAAAATGTACGACTTAAAATGTTTAAAATGAACTACATTTAAGTTTTATATGGTTTAAATTTTATTTACTTACCGGTGTAAATCAGCAAAAAGAGACAAATGTTTGGAGTATTTTTGGGGAAATTCTAAAAGATTATTACGAAGTAGATTTTGTATATGTATTAATTCCTAAATATTTTTTAAAGCTTTTCTTTTCGTTTATTTATTTATTTAGTAGATAATCAACTCTACCCACTGTGCACGGTGGTTACGCTGAGTGACACTCGAGCCGCCTGACAACGCCGCCACTTAGTTTAGAGTTTTATGGGCGAGCAATTCGATTATTCTTCATTTACGTCAATCAATGTGGATGCTGCTTTTAGACGCTAGCCGCGCACCCTTAATCGCTTTGTTTAAATAGTAAAACGCCGCACGGATCGGGCATTTTCAGAAATTTAATATCGCAGATGAGGCAGATGAGTTGTTATTGTGGCGCCGTCTTGTCTGTGAAATTGTCTGCCCCAAAGTCTGCTTTTCCATTTCGTGTATCCCTTTCGAATGCGAAAATCCCTCTGCTGTTCTGTTGACTTTCCTTTCATTTCGCAGCTCTTCCTGTTTTTCTCGTCCTGCTTCTTGTTTATTTCGCTTTGCTGTTTACTTCCGCAACTTTATTATAGCTTTTGGCTGAGTTGCAACTGTTTGGCTGTTTGCTTTATGCTTATGAGGGTTAGGCCAACGCGTCGTATTAGCAACGTGGCCAGGATATCTGAATGGGGATTCGGGATTGGTTTCCCAAACGGAAGCAGGGATATCTTTGAGGCATAGGCATAGGTTTTTTTTCTTTATGGATTATGAATTGGCTAGGTTGGTGGGTGAGAATCGAGGCAGTTGCTCACACTGTTGACCAAGATTATCGGCTACTTTAAGTGGCCATTGAGAAAGATTTAGAGAAGGGCTAACGAGCAACTTATTATGTCCTTTAGCTTAAGCTGTTAGGCAAAATTGAAGAACTTATACTCCACAAGTTTTGGGCTTAATTATACTTAAACTTAATTTGATTTAAATCAAATAACTTAACACAGCAAGAGAACATAAGGTACCAATATAAGTACAACTATGTTTTTATAGCTGCTATGTAGCTAATTTAAAATCTCTTCAAAAAAATTAGTTATGGTTTAAAGTTAGACAACAATTTTTACAGTTATAATAATATTTCCATTAAAATATTCTTATGGGCAGACTTTAATTGTCTTTTATTTTATTATTTTAGTATTTTGGTCATAAAAAGGATTGCCTAAAAAAATAAAGATATTTTAAAAACTTTTTTTTTAAGAAACACCATTTTAAAATAAGCGAGATGTCTAAACGCAATACAAACTTAGAAAAAATTTAAATATAAAATGTTGTAGCACTAGGTTATAAGTAAATAAATAAATAAAGCACGATCTAAGCTAAGGTAGATAATTGTGCGAAAATGTAATGGTGAAGAATAGTTGGGAAGCTTAGTAAATTTTAAGTATTAGTACAATTTTAAGCCTTCATCTTTAAATTGTTTAGAACGGACTCTTTTGGATTGAGTGAATACGGATTCAACAAAGCAATTATAATGGCTCTATGATGACTCTAAAATCAAAAGAAACATTTTTAAGAAAATAAATGATCAATTGTTACACCACTTAAGGGCCTCATAACTAATGATATCCATTAGATTGGCAACCAATTGAGCCACAAACTTGGCCAATATAAAAAGCATCACGCACAACTTGAATCAATCAAACTCCAAAGAAGTAAAGTCACTTATTTGTGGCTGGTCAATAATCAAGAGGAGCGATGCTCATTCATAAATCGTTGTATTTTCGAAAATTTTTTGAGCATGCTTAGGTGTTTTGAGCGTCCCCCAAGCAGACAGGGAAAAATATTCAAAATGGCTGACATTCTGGGATGTCGAACGAGGAGGAGAATGCAGGACGAGGACGACTGTGTGTGCCATGGGGCAAAAAACAATGGAAAATGGCCTGGCAACATGTTAATAGCATTTCACGCACGACTGAGATTCGCATGCCAACCCAAAGGAGGTGGTACATTCCCATGTACAAGAGGACTTCTGATTGGTCCTCCACGGGCAGGTGGCTCGGCATACCCCCACCGTGGCCCCAAGTATCAACGGCTACTGTTGCCAGCCGCCAGCGACCAATGCCGAAGGACGAAGGACTCGTCAGGATTCTCGGGCCTGCGCAGCTTTCGTTTCGGTGGAAAGCTTTTCACCACAGCCCCTGTGCGAAAGGGACAAATGCGTTGATTATGCTGCGGAGGAGCATAATCCGCTGGCAGGACATCCATCTGGGCAGACAAGAAAGGCGAATGCGGGCGCTTTTAGTTTCACTTCGTGCGTTGTCCTGCTGAGGCCAAAAGCGAGCCGTTTGAGCTGCGGGTAAATGGCTGGAAAAATACCATTAAAATAGATCAATAAATAAGGATATATGGTTACAAAATATCTGAATAATCATTCGCATATAGAGAGTGTATCGAAAAAGTGCTGATTTATGGCGAAAAGTGAAAAAAATCGACGGTTTCTGGCCCACCCGTCGTAATACCCTTGAAAAGAAAAACTCACACATTCCAGTGGTTGAAAATTTCCAGTGTATATACTACGCTCCTCCCCCTTCCTCCATCCCCCAACCCTCTCCACCTCTACACTAGTTTTCCCCATACCGTGTCTATATATTGGATACATTCCAGGCCGAGAACGGCAGCTTATGTATCCAAGTATTCCGTCGCCACCTGTCCTCCGCCGATCCTCAAATGGAGGTCCACATCGCGGCTGATTTTGAACTGGCTGTCACACAGTCTTCAGACAGAGTTGGGTTCGGATCGGTCCTCGTCCTCGTGGTCGTCGGTTCCATAAAATCCAGCCGCCGGTCTCGTGGTCAAACTCTGTCTGGATGTTGTCGTCCCACATTCTAAGTTCTTAATTGGTTTATCCAAAGTTTTTATGTTCAGTTCTCAATTTTACTCTTATTTTTGCGAGGCGTGTGTTGCCCAGAAAATGTGAGACTTTAAAACACTTAAATTATTTTTTTAAACATTTTAGAGATTAAAAATAAAAAATTAATATATTTTTAAAAAACTTTAAAGTATTAAACTCAATTTCACCATTTTTTACTATCCCATTTACAGCGTATCGCGTAGTGTATAATCAAGCTATATAATCTGTTATCTGTGTACCTTATTTGTGATATCCTAACCAACAACAACAAAATTAAATGCTTAACAAATTTTGTTGACTAATAAAAAATAATTTAAGCCAAATTAACTACCGAACACAAACTGTGCTAATATTTTAAACAAAGGAAGATTACATAATCGGGCACAACGGCGAAATGGATTACGTAACTCTAGTGTGGCATGTAAGTAGGCGTTGAGGCCAAAGGTCAAAAGTACAACGATTTTGGGGGAAGAGCTTCAAATGGAATCTTCTGGGAATTTAGTGAAAAACGCCAAGGAATGCTGACCTTTTTTATAAATTTCATTGTATTAAAAAAGGAACTTTTAAATGCTTGACAAAAAATAAATAAAGTCTAATTGAAGGTCCTGTTTATTAATACTTTGAAATAATAATTAATAATTTTATTAAATAATTACAATTTCTTTGCTACATTTCATTTCATTTTTCTACCAAAAAACAATATTATTATTGTTACATTAGATTCATAACATTAGCCTGTAGACAGGCTTGTGTTAATAATTTCAAGTCTCTAGAGACTTATATTCTAACTAAATTTTAAGAAAGTGTTTCTCATGTCCTTAAGATGAATCCTGATTAATGTATCTAAAATGTTTTAAAAGTGCCAATTAAAATAGTTTTTATTATGCTGCAGAGGTTTTTTATAAAATTTCTCTCCTTATTTTTGCTAACCCTATTCAGAAGAGATTACTCTAACCAAAAAAGGCTCAAATTTCATCCACACACTAAATGAAGCGTAAAAGGCAATCAAAATAGCCAACAAAGCCAGAAATATTTACAAAATGTTCTCCCGGCTCAGTAGTTACCCCACACCCATCCAATAACACTCGTTCGTTTCCCTCATCACTCCCATCGGAGACCCAAGCAAATTTATGAACATAAGCCGCTTACAAGAAATGTGCAAAATGATGAAATTGTACGAAACTTTTGCTTATCAGCAACAGAACACAAATTGTTGGACCCATTAATAACCGGTACAAATCTCTTTTTCAGGCACTGTAAATGAAAATGCACAAGCTTTCCGCTAATCGAAATTATATGGCGACCAACTGAAAATCCCCTGCTGAGTGCGCGAACCAACCCGAAAATATAGTCATCAAATTTGTGCTGGCTTCACGGAAATTAGCCGCCGCCGATTCGCCACGCTTATATACACGGCAATCCGCCGTGAAGTAGGCAACAAAATATATTTATGCGCCCAAGTGATAACAGCGGAAAAGCCAACGAAGCACAACAAGCGCTGACTTTCACGGAGGAGGATTCGGCGATCCGGAGACAGGGGCGGAGTCAGAAGGAGTCTGGGAAAATCAGGGACACGAGCGCAGCAGCAGCATGAAGGGTCTGACGGCGTTTAAGGAAAAGGCGACGGGCGTGTTCGGCGGGTAAGTGTGCCAGACGAATCGAATGTGATATTATAAGCATAACACCAAGCAGCAGGGTTTTGGTTTTGGGAAACCAATGAAATGCGATAAGTTTTAATTTAAATTCAAAACTTTATATTTTTGATATACCCCATTAAAAATTTCAGAAGTAATAGTTATCTTTACTTGTAGCTTTAAAAGAAGTTTTTGTGTTTTGATTTTTTTATATTTTTTGGAATTTTAAAGCTTAATGGAAGCTATAAATAAAATGTTGGACAATTATGTAGCTATATATAGCTATACAATAATCCCATAAACTGTTTTAAGAGATATATAAAACTTTGGCAAAAGATTGCGTCAATAATTTTTTTAAAAAAAGACATCCCTTAACTTTATTTATGATCCAAATCTTTGTTTACCAGTGTACAGCGATGACGCTGAGCAATATGCCTAGGATGAAATATGATTGTAATCAAATGGACTTTGGAAAGAACAAAAAAAGTGAGAGAGTTTAATTTAACGCAAGGCTGGTCGGTGTTCGTGGTTGGTTGAACTTGACCATTTCCAGGATAATGCAGTAAATATGTACCGATATTGATACGCACTGTCGACTGGCCGACGTCGCGAAACTTTGGCACGTGTCGCGCCCCGGAAAGTTGTAAAATTATTGGCATGCTTAGCAAGTCATTAGAGGTGGGGGCTAACCGAGGACTTACAGGACTCGCAGGTTTTCCAGTGGTGACAATGAACGCGCTGGCATGCCGACGAAGAGCACACCGGTGGCTCAGGAATTCCGGGCACGTTGGCAGCACGTGTCCGGGAACTTAGGCGTACGTATACGCCGGCACCTTCGATTCCGGGAAACACACAATAAAACCCTACTGGGGCACATTGGGCAAACACTCAATGAATGTGTGTGTGGTCCTGGTATGCAATTTTATGGCCACACCTCGCCTGATTTCTCAAGGACCTTTGGGCGCAAATTAGAAATTGGAACAATAGGTGGATTGGATCGCTTTCATTAAGGAATGTGTTGCATACCGACGAAGGGCTGTTGCTGCTGCTGCTGCTGCAGTGGCTCACGCAAATGAAATTGATTTTTACGACCCGTTTCCGTTGCCGTTGGCAGGACCTGCCGCTGAAGCTCTCGAGTGGCACTTGGCGCGAAGAAATTGAAATGCCTCATCGGGGGAGCGCTCAAGGAGTTCCTTTATCCTTATCCTTGCCAGTGAAAATGAAATTAGAATTGCCATTGAAGATACGCGGTCGTGTCGCTGACAAGCCACCACTTTCTCTTTGCCGCCCACTCCAAATGCCGGAGCATCTCAGTTGTCAAGGCAAACAAACTAATACACACCATCCATTTATATATTTTTGTGAATGTGCCCCATTTACATCTCTAATGGTCGCGTTTTTGTGGCCACGTTAAAGTCAAAAGCGAATGCCAAAATGCCTTCAGTTCGTGGCGCCAGTTATCCTTAATCTGGGCGGCGCCAAAAAGTCTGCAACATTTTTACTGACTATCAACACAGAACTTTTGCGCCAAACATAGTTTGGCGAGACGTCAAAAAAACCAGTCAAGGATGTGAAGTTATTTTTGAAAACAGAAGAACACGTGATGTTCTATCAGGACAATTTAAAATAAAGTTCTAAAATAATGCAAAAAACCCTAATGAATAAAGTATGGATTAATAGGAAACAAGTACTATTTATTTTGGAAGAACTAGCAAACAGCTTTTTTAATTTGTATTTTCTTATTCTTTGCTTAAAACAATTTAATTTATTTTTAATAATATATAATAGGTCATATATTCAAGGGCGGATATGTGCTTCAAAATATCTTTAAGGTTAAACAATAAACCTACAAAAAAATCAAAAATATATTTATTTTATACTAATCATTGAAAAAAAGCAATTCGTATAAAAATGTATTTGGTTTTGACTGGTTGTCTGGTTTTGAATAGTTGATGAATATTAAAATACCTTTAAGCCTAATCAAATTTTAAATTTAACATAATTTGTATTAAAACCAAGCTTTAACACCAAAACAATGCGTATAACTTTTATTTAATTTTAAATATCATCGGATATTAAATATATTTTATATAATATTACCGTAAAAATTATTGTGGAGCATGAGAAGGTAAATTGCTTTCAGAAGTTAATTCTAATATTCCCTAGATTTATACCTTAAGTGCCTAGGTCCTGAAATATCACGTTGAAATGGTAATCGAATCCTCGTTTGGCATATAACAAACCTAATGACAGACATAACGCAGCTGTCTTTTTTTCGCAGGGCAAATAAGAATTTCCGCATAAAATTGGCGTCAGCCTTAAAGTCGGTCAAGTCGCAAGTTGTTCGAAGGACGCAAGATGCTGCTCTTTCCCCTTTTTGATTTTTTTTGCCCATATTCAGGGGATCCTGCGTGACCAGACGAGGGTAGCTTTGGCGGCAGACAGTTGAGTTATGTGACAGGCGGCGACTTCGACGACGACAAAAAGTTATATCCACTGTAGTGGCTTGTTTTAGCTGGTGGCTGCTTATTAGTTTGTATTGCATACTTATGGGGACTTTGTCTGGAAATTTATGAAGAAAAATTCCTAATTCAGGGGAAGGGGGGTAAGGGCCATATCTCAGTTGATGTGTCACTTATCCCGGGTTAATGGTTTGGTGAGAGAGGGTGGTTGGGTTGTAAAGGTCAACCCCAGATATCATTCGGTATCAGCTAACACACATCCATCAATCAGTCGGTGACAAGGTCTTTTAACTGTGTTTAAACTGGGAAATCAAATCGGGAAATGCGATTTCGGATTCTTACCTGGTCCAATCAACTTTAAATACCCGTAGCCATGCTATCAGCACTTAATAAAATTGAATTTTATTCAGCAGTAAGAGGGGAAGTTTTGCCAGCAAATTCCTCCCCTCAAATACCGCAATTCCTTTGGGACCCTTGGGAAAAAACAACAACCACCTTCAAATGGGCGGCAGGTTTTTGGAGGGGTGGCAGCTGTTGCTGCTAACAAGCCAAAAATATTTGTGTTTTCACGCCCTCCAGTTGACCTGTTGATTTGGATTGCTAGCCACTCTAATTGGCATGAATTATGCCCCTGGAGAAAACGATTGTAATATACAAGTTTTATTGAGGGAATTGATTTGAGAAACTGTCAAACAAAAAACAAAAAATTTGCGAAGCTTCCAACTTCTATATCACATTAAACGAGAAATTAATTGAATAGACAAAAGTCTTTTAGTATTAGAAGTATTAGTATTAGAATACTTATTTCCATTCCCGTAAATAGGATTTTTAAGATACGCAGATTTCCAAACATCTTCATAAAAAAAGAAAAATTTATTTAAATGACAAATGACGAATGTTAAGAAATAAATGTTATGCTTTTGAAATATGTATATTATCTATCAATTAAATCTTAGTTAATACTTTTATTTTATTTCCCTTTTACAGCCTGAAGCCCAACATGGAGAAGTTCGAGATATCGCAGAGCTATCATGGCGGACACGGGGGCTACGAGGAGATGGAGGGCGGTGACCGGGAGGGCCGGGGTCCTGGAGGCGGCCACGCTTACGACGACGACGACGATCGGCCCGATTCGCCCGCCTCCTTCGAGGAGATCGAGCGACCGCCGCTGCGGAAGATCGACAAGTACTGCAAGGCGGAGTGTCCTTGCATGCCGGCCCGCTACACCATCGCCACCATGGCCTGCGTGGGATTCATGATCGCCTTCGGAATGCGGTGCAACATGTCGGCGGCCAAGCTCAAAGGAGAGCACAACGGGGTGAGTGGCTATAGCTACTATATATTCCTTTCTTCAAAAGACCTAAAATATTGCAATCATAGCTTTAGCTAATATATACTATTTTTCAATTGACCCAAAATATATCACAATTTAATAAGTTCGTTTAGTTTAACCTAATTCCCAAAGTATTTATAAATATTTAAGATTTTTATGTTAAGAAAAGCTTAAAACATCTTTTAAATCATATTTTACAATTAAAATTTAAGGCTAATAGGTTTTGTTCGAACAAAACTGAAGACCCACTTAAATAAAAAATTATATTATATTCCATCCCATCACTTCACTTCTGATGATACATTTTTTAAAAATTTGATAAATAACTATAAAAATGTTAAGAACTTGAGAACTTCAAATTAAGTTTTGTTGAAATTCCGCAATGGCTTAAATATTTTAAATTATACAACAGTTGACAAAGACTCTCATTAAATTCAGCTCACATTTGCTTGCTGAAACTCTACATATTAAATTGATCAAATTGACAGAATTAAATGAGTAAAAATAAATGCTATAGAGAGGGAGCCATCAAATTCTCTTCGTTTGGCGAGAAGCTGTTGTCAATTAGGGTGTGTGAGTGTGTCTGTGGGTGGATATCACTCAAAAGTCATACACAAAAGGCCACGCCCCCACATAGATACTTGCACAACCCATTTTGAAACTCAGAGCCCGGATGCTCGTTAATAAATGCCTGCAGCGGTTTTTAATGATTGTTGAACTGCCTGATAACTCACCCTGTAAATGTATTTATTTGCGGATTTTTGCAGACTGTTTTCATGAACTGGACTGTGGCCGTGGAGAGCCATGTGGACTCGTCCTTTTTCTGGGGCTATCTGGTGACGCAGATTCCCGGCGGCTTCATCGCCTCCAAGTTTCCGGCCAACAAGATATTCGGACTGTCCATCGTAAGCTCCGCCACACTGCATCTTTTCGTGCCATTCGCGATGACCCTGATGCACGGTCATGTGGTGATTTGTGTGCGCGTCCTGCAAGGACTCTTCGAGGTACGTAGCCCAACCATTCAGCCAACCATCCAACCAACCAGCTAACCAAATTCGATTTTGCCACAGATCAAAGCCGGGGATTACGGCTGCGTGATGTTGCGAAAATGGGGAGGGTTAGATTTTACTGTATGATAAAGCAAATATGTGAAATGGAAACATGTCCTAAGTCCTCAAAGGGATGGGGGTTCTGCCGGGCTAAAGAATAAATAACAAAAGCATTTATTTTAATGCGATTTCTTTGTGTAAAAGACTGGGGAGTTTGTCATATTTCTTTGACTCTGAAAGAAATGGCAGATACTTTGGCAACAACATATATGCTCATTCGATTTCGGAAACAGTAAACCAGTTGTTTATGCCTTTTAAATTTTTTTGGTAGACTTAGTTTGATGTTTATATTTTTAAAGCAAATAATTTTAAAGTATTCCTCGTTAAATGTCGTTTTTCTTAATAAATCTATCGGACTTCCGGATTAAAAATATCTTGCTAGTGATTTTGCAGCACCCTCCTTATTAAATAAATATCAAAAGTCTTTATAAATTTCTGACATAAAATCGGATATTATTGAATGTTATATTCCTCCCCAGGGCGTTACGTATCCGGCTTGTCATGGCATCTGGCGCTTCTGGGCGCCTCCCATGGAACGTTCCCGACTGGCCACGTTGGCCTTTTCCGGTTCCTATGCCGGCGTGGTGGTGGGACTTCCGCTCTCCGGACTTCTGGCCGATACGGTGGGCTACCAGGCGCCATTCTACGCCTACGGGGTGTTCGGTATTATATGGTACATGTTCTGGATATGGTTGTGCTTCGAGAATCCTCGCAAACATCCGGCCATCAGCATACCCGAGCTGAAGTACATCGAGAAATCGCTGGGGGAGTCGGCTCATCCTTCAATGCCATCTTTAAAGACGACTCCTTGGCGGGAGATGATGCGTTCGATGCCGGTTTACGCCATCATTGTGGCCAACTTCTGTCGGTCCTGGAACTTCTACCTCCTGGTCCTCTTCCAATCCTCGTTCCTCAAGCATAAGTTCGGTTTTAAAGTGGAGGAGGCGGGCTTCGTGGGATCCCTGCCCCATTTGATCATGACCACAATAGTTCCATTTGGCGGCATGTTGGCGGATCACCTGCGAAAGAATGGCATCCTGTCCACCACGAATGTGAGAAAGCTGTTCAACTGCGGCGGTTTTGGAATGGAGGGCCTGTTTTTCCTATTCGTTGCGCATTCCTCAACGGCGGTAGGTCATTAATTGGACAGTATTTTTTTTTTGATTTTATAAAGCTCTCTTTTCCAGACGGGAGCCATGTTTGCCTTGACCTGCGGCGTGGCTTTCAGTGGGTTTGCTATTTCTGGCTATAATGTCAATCATTTGGATATTGCTCCGCGATATGCCAGTATCTTGATGGGTCTGTCGAATGGCATTGGCACTTTGGCTGGCATCATTGTGCCCTACGCTCTGGATGGTCTCATTCAGGCTAATGTAAGTTGAGTTTTGTGGGAAACTATTAATTACTGTCAAAAATGTTTTTCAAATTTCAAACAACAAAAAATAGTGGGAAATCAAAGTAAATTTATTGATTTATAGCAGACAGAATTATTGTTTTCTCATCTCAGATTTTTTGGACTTATAAAAGGTTTCGAATTTTAGGAGCTATACATATTAATATTTTAATATATTAACTAAATGGATCATTAAATATTAATGAATTTTGATTTATAAATAAACTTTTTAGCCCACTGGCTGTTGGACAACCGTCTTCACCTTGGCCGCCTGTGTTCATCTGGTTGGGTGTACTTTCTACGGGATTTTCGCCTCTGGAGAACTGCAGCCTTGGGCGGAACCTCCAGCTGAGGAGCAGAAGGTGTGGGCACCACCAGCAGGTGCCATTACCAACACGGATCCCAGTCAGGCGGGCATGTTGGGCGACTACATGAAGGAGACCTCATTCGTAAGTGGAAAACCAACAATGTTTTTCCTTTTAAGATATCCTTTTTTATCAGTTCGTTTTTAAAATGTTAACTTAGATATTTATTATTGAAATATAATAATAATAATTTAACTACATTTTATTAAAAAGCTACCTAACGTTTAAGATAGTTAATAATAAAACATATTATGTTTTCGAACCCTTTAATTAACTCTGTAATACCATTGTTCACCACTTTTCCCACGAAAGGGCGCTCCCGAGTACAATGAGCAGAGCCAAATGCAGCAGTCAAATGCCATTAGCTACGGCGCCACTGGGCACGTGGCCAACAATCCATTCGCCATGGCCAGTGGTGCACCACCCATCGCCGAGGAGGATGCACCACCAACTTACGGGGATGTGTCGAACGCAGGACAATATGGATACACGCAAGGACAAATGCCGTCCTACGATCCGCAGGGATACCAGCAGCAGCAGTAATGGACTCACTGATATATATCATAGTCTTTAGTTGTAGTCGAAAATCGTTTGACGTTTATTGTTTGTTCTTGGTGTGCCGTTAAAGTTTTTTCCCCATACTCTCTCTAACTTTCTATTTGTTGAGTTCCATTGATGAAGGGATCCCAAAAGCCTTTCGGAGATATATATACTATACATAAAAAAATAACTAAAAGAGTATCGAATTTGTCAGCGAATTAGGGGATTCCATAAGCCACACTAACACAATGAAACTATGTACCTAACAGAGAAACTACATATGCATACACAGCAATACCGATAGCCATTACCATTACCATTACCATTAGCCCACATATAGACACACACTGGCCTAATCGATCTATATAGAAACTATAGTATATGGTACTAAGGCGTCGCTTCCGCGAATTTCTATTTACAAGCTCCGAAAAATCGAAACTGCAACACAAGATAGGGAACGAACTGGAAATATATAGTCAGCACTTGTGTATATCGTAAACCACATAATCCAGACAAAGCCCATAATAACTATATTTAAATCGGTATAATCGTATATATACATATATATATACTATATATTTAGCTAAAGATTGTTGTTGAACTGCAAACTGCACGTTTTATTACCGTTGATGATATTATCTTCTGTGTACGGAGAACATTTTAATCAAATCCAAGCAATTGTTGATGTTCGGCACGAATGATAACCATAAAAATACTAGTTAATCAAAAAACATAATATTGTTCTGTTAACTATAAATTGTTTATGTTTGATTGGTTTTATTCTTGATGCACCGTATGCTTTTGTGTTTTAGGAACATGAGCAAGGCATGATGTAGGTACTAAAAACATAACACTTAAGTAGATAGCCGTAGGCGCATATAACCTCAGAATTGGTCTTCATATGCTCACTACATTAAAATATTAATAAGCAAAAGGAACACTTTATATAAAAATGTAAAAGAATTTCACTAAGTTTGGATTTTAATGCCAAAAAAAATATTTTGGATTCAATGCAATCTTTCTTTTAAATTTCACTTTATTTTACGTTTCCTAAAAAGTTCGACCTCTTCTACGATTTTTTCCTATTTCCTTGGCTTGAAAATCCAAACATTGCAATTTATAATACAAAAAATAAACAATACACTATAATTTTAATGATATTTGTTAATTTGCTTTCAAGTACGAACATTCGTTTTAAAAATTATTAAATTTTCTATATTAACACTATTAAATCTCTCTAAACCAATAAATTTAAACAATTTCGAAATACCTAGTAGATTGTAAATATGTTTTGCATTAGGTAATTTAACTTTAATTTATTAATGCACCAAATATTATTTCGGAGCACAAATTTAACATACAAAATGCACTGTTACTATTTGTTTTCTTAAGTTACATGCACCGTTTGTTAATTTAGCTACAATTTACCTAAAACTTCCATTACTGCCACACAAAACATATTTAGACGCACTTACTTTCGCACTATTCAATTGAAAATGCAAATTTACAAAGAAATTATTTCTAATCGTCTGTATATTATCCAAACATATATTAGCCACAAATATTATAAATAACTATAAAAAGGTAATTTAAATAATTCACATTTAAATCACTATGTATTAAAAACGTGAACATTTTCTAACTAAAAGAGTCAATTCTAATACCGTAATTTGTACAGCGCAGCGATTAAATACTCACGCAAATACTCGTATAGAAACTTTAACATAGCTAATATATATTAAAATTTTAAATGTTTTTTGGATAAAAGTTCCAATCGAAGAAAACAAACAATACTGCTTGTGTGAGCGACAATACTTAGTGAAGTAAGCCTAGTTAATAGTAATTAATTTAATATTCACCTATTATTTCCAATTATTTAAAATCATAATTTGATTTTAGGCACATATTTTTAACGAATGCTTTGCGCAGGCAATTAAAAATGTTGGCCACTGGGGCGTATGTGTAATATTAGAATAGTTACAAATTCATTCTGTATATAAAACCATATTTAAGATTAATTCATGTTTAATCTAAAGATTAATACTTTAGAGACAAGCTCTCACTTTATCGATTTTATTTCTTTATTTTTTGTTTTTGAGAGATACTCAAGCTCTCGGGGCTGTGTGGACAATAATAACATAGATATGTTAACCAAAAAAGCCACGGTTAAAACTTTTGCTTTTGCTAAGATATGAAAATAATAAAATAATAAGTCGTTTGACATAACAGTTTGTAAATACAATTATATCTCGTAGTTGAATGCCATCATTAAATGCTTTTGTGAGTAATTTAAGTGTACATAAGGCCAAATTGAAACCAAAGCATAGCTAAAAACTAAACGAGCGCAACTTTAATAGTGTTAAACCATCAGTTTTTGCTATAGCCAGAGTCACAAAAGAACAGGTTACTTCTAGGGTATTTTAACTACTAGCCAAACTTAAATGTTGTACGTGGAAATAAACAAATGAAAACGCTAGGAAATGCATACACATTCATACAGAAATATAGGCGCACAAATACGAATCAGATATATGCTACTAATATAAATCATATATATACTAAAATCGTGAAAAGGTCTACGAAACTCTTTGGAATCTGAACCCAAAGAAACTTCTTGATATTAAAAAAGCTGTATCACTTTGGCTGGGATATCCAACCTATACTTAAACCGTGTATATATTTAGCAACAAAAGATTCTTTGTGTTCACTGAGAGTTCTGTATACAAAATATAAATTAATAAATCAAAATTAAATATATTATACACAATCGGAGATCCCTTTTCTGGCAACACCCGCCCATGTTGTATAATTTATATGGTAGTTAAACCAAATTTAAATAAATACTTATATATTTCATTGTATGCTCAAAAACAAAAAAAGAAGATCAAATAATTATTCCTAAACATAAACGAATTAAAGAGACTCAGAAAACAAGAAAACCACTGTTCATTTTAAGTTCTGCTTAGTTTCTTCGTCTCTTGTGTAAATTAAATTTGGTTAATAGACATAAAGATTCAAACCCCAATGCATGAGATCCGGCTATACGAAATACCATATTCGAAGGTCATGAAAAACAGAACGAAATTATACCTAATGAATTGTATTTGGAATTCAATAAAACGAACATGTTAAAAATTATGCCAACAAAATTGAGTTCTTTTATTTCATCCAACTCTTAGCATAAATCTTAACGATTATACCTATTTGTTTGTACAAGTCCCGGAACACTTGAGATTGGGACTCGGTCCATTCCCAGCTCCCAACAAAAAATGGCTGAAGTTAGAGCTAATAACAAAAATATGAAATAAATAGGTATCAATTAGGAAACAATCTAAAATCACATGAGTGCTACGGTGTAAAAAGTGCCTCAGTCCAGGCGGTTCAAATACAAATTAGTATATCAAATTCATTTAACGACTTGGCCCAGTTGAAGAGCATTATCTTCTCACTCCCTGGTATTCTCCATTGGATCGCCCTTTACCCGGAAAACCACGTGCAAAGGGCGCCTTGGCATTGGTGGTCACATAATAGTTCCCTCGAGCTCTGCATTAAAAAATATAGTTATAAAGAATACACAGACATATTTTTTAAAATGGGACTCACTTATGAGAGCAGTGTTCGCCCATTAGGACATATTCTGAATCCTTGGGCTCACACCAGCCTATCAGGTAGGAGAACAAGTTGGGACAAGGACCTGCATAAAATCCTCGAGTCGTCGTTATGGATTCAATAAAGTACGGCGTGACTTTTGTGTGATCACAGGCCAAGGTTTCTGCGGTTTTGATGGAATGATAATTTATATTAAACCGACATGTTAAATATATGGCTAGGTATGTACAATGTATATGTATGTATGTACAATACTTCTTAAGGAAATGTATAAGGAATTTTCTTTAAAATTAAAACAACAAGAAAATTTCTATTATATTAATTAGAACATTTTATTTTAGAACACTTACGAAACAAAGTGGCTGATCCCACGCAAGCCGGCTGTCTGGTGCCTCCGTTGACGTAGAAGTCCGCATGACCACTGGAGTGCCACTGCCCGAGGATTCCAGCTCCTGTGTGGACGACATCCACGAAGTGGGCATCCGTAGAATCCAGATCCCTTGAGTTATTCGCGCCCGCATAGAAGAATATCGTTGGATCCAGGGCGGTAATCCTGCCCAGCTTTCCCTCCTCGGGTTTCAAGTAGTTTGCCACCAAACCAGCGATGTGGGCACCCACACTGTATCCGATAAGGTGCATATCATCCGGCTGAACGCCACGCGGATGACGAGCTAGGTACTTTACCAGCTGGGAAATGCACAAGCTGCCAAATCGAGGAGCCCAGTCCATCTGACTCAGACAGGGTTCCTTGACCGCATCGGCATAGTCCACAATGATGATGTTGTACTCGCCCAAACTGAAATACGCCTCTCGAAGATCCGGACTGGGACTCAATGTTCTGCCGCCTCCAAATCCATGGATTATGATCTTGGTGGGATGCCGCGGATTGAAGTGCGTGTAGTACAAGGCATTCGCATCGAGGACATCTATGAATTCCGGTTGTTCCTGGGTGCGTCTCGTGTACAAATAGAACTGGATCTTTGGGTGTGGACAGCGGTACGGTTTCTGGAGGCAAGAATCTGTCACATAGACCTGCGTCTGATTTTGACCAGCCGCCACAGCAGCAGCCACAACTCCCGCATTTTGGCCAGCTACGGAGGATGTGAGATTTAAAATTCAAGATTTTAGTTGACAAACTAGTTTCGCTATAAGATATAACACTTAATTACATAACCAGCTGCTGGCATCAGCGACATTGAATGCTTGCAATTTGGCACGCTGCAAATGTCATGCGATTGCAGCTGCAACATTTAGTTGTAGAAAGTAAAAGTCAGCCTCAAACGGAAGTGACGCTATATTGTGGCTCACTGCTCGTTGTTTGCTTTTTCAAACCAACTGGGTTTATTTTTTGACAAAACGTGCTGCTCATGATATAACTGGAGCTGGCAACTGGATGCGGAATAAATATGCGTAATTTATTCATCTGATTCGTGGGGGAAGGAAAACCCATTTGAGATCGGTTTATCTAACACTTGGGTTCGTTTTCTGCGAACAGATATGCGCCAAGTGGTTCGCAATTGCGAGGAGTGCATTTCACAAATGCGGTTTTGCTACTTAAGCACTGGTATTAAATTATTGTACAACTCCCATCTATTAATTTTAAATGGTTAAAGTTTTTTGTAAGACTTTAATCAGTTATACTCATCTTAACTAAACCAATTTTTTTTTCTATATTCTATATTCTTTTTATAAATGGTAATACTTAAATGTTTTCAAAAATTTTTTATAAGAAAGTTAATTTCCAAAGGCCCAAAATTTGTTTTCTTAACTTTATATACTTTATGTCAATATTTCTATATTAAATTATGATTTAAAGGCCAATTAAAAATAATTTAATGGTGCAGCGCTTTCGAAACTTAACATTGACTGTTTTTATGGTGCCTTAAAAAATTGGTTTTTACTCAAACATATTTTTAGCTTTCATGAGCTAACATACATTTATACACAAAAATTTTAAATGGCTAGGCTTATGTTGACCCAACTAAATACTGTTTTTTGGCTTTTCTTAAATTTATGAGGTAATTAACACAGCAACATATAATTAACAATCCATTAAACCTTTTTAAAATATACTAACAAATATTGATAGAACACAAACTTGGATACACTTTATATTTATAGCAAAAAAAGAAAAAAAAACACAAATTAGTTAATTTAATAAAATTTGCAATATATACTCTGCATTTTATTAAAAGCTCTATCTGTGAACTAGTTCCAGCTAAGTTTGTGTGTCAGCAACGTTGAGCACGCCGCATGCGTAAGAAGCCGCTGTAATGCGCTTTGCATCCAAATGGCCAAATTAAAAGTCTACCAAAACATATGAGAATCGGCCTTCGACTGTCTCAGTTGGTGACGCCAAAATGTTAGAGCTACCAATTGGCCCACTTGCGGTTGGAGTACGACTAGTTACTGGTAGTTAAGAGATAACCGAGCGTCATGCAACCGGTCTGGGAAACTATTGCAGATGCAGACTCTTGTCGCTTGGCTGGGCACTGGAAATACCCGAAGATATTGGCTGCCTTATAGGGCATACAAGCCCCAGCGACACAGTGAACACGGCTTAATTCACTCCGATTTCGATGACATGTGTGTTGGCTAGACCAGCAGCTAGCTAAATTAATAATGCAATAAGCGTATTTTTACATCAGAGTCAGCAACATAATGCAACTCAACCACCCACTGAAATCGGTGATACAGTAAAAAAAGAAATATGCATAGAAACTAAACTATTGTTACATGAAATTTAAACTATTGGGTATGAAAAATTTCGCAACAAGATGAGTATTAATACCACGAAAAAATAAGTCCTTGGACTACAATTTTTGATTCTTCGGAAAAGAAACGAAATATAAAAGTATAGGGGTTTTATTAATTAATAATTGTACTTTAATACGGTCTGTAGTTTATTTTCAAAACACATTTATTAAAAACCAATTTTTTATGGTGTAGATTACATTTTGTATTTTATATCTTTCTAATATCTTTTCCTTAGCGCTATTATTTATATTTAATTTGTTTCTAAGTAGTTTTTTTTCTTTAACTTTTTTAGATCACTTTTTCTTTCTCTGTAGACATAGTTTTACCCACACTTCAATTAGCAATGGGCTGTGGTCGCGGTCATGCCTCAATTGTCTTCAGCTTTTCTGTTTTCATTTGTTTTTCACAATCGTTTATCTCCGACTTCGTGCGCTGCTTTTTCCCATCTTATGTAAGTGCACCCTCCCCCTTTTTCATTTTCCTTTCCATTCGAGCATTACGCATGCCAATTAAATGACTTTGGTTTCGGTTTCGGATTTGTTTATGTTTTATTTTGGCGGGAAAATGGCATGGAGAAATTTTTGGGACTTTTGGTTGGCCGGAAAACTCTGTCCAACTAACACAAATCAGGCCCCGAAACGGAAGCGGTCGAATGCGGAAGGAGAAAAACGAAATTGGAGGCGAAACACGAAATACTCATCGCCTGCTAAGTGAAAGATGTTTTTTGGGTTGGATCGCTTTTGACTTCGTTTATTGTTGTTTTCTGTTTGTTTTGTGGGTCTTTGTGTTTTTTATTTGCCATGAGTCATGGATATTGTTTTGGCTGGCTTTGGAGATTATTGACCAACTGACTTCGAATCGATATAGATATCAAGATATGTGTGTCATAACCTTAAGCAGCCAAAGCCAATGCATGTCTTAGTTTTAAATTTGACAAGCGTGTTAACAAAATTCTTAACCAAATTGCTTAATTTCGTGTCCGAATTACAACTATTAAATAATTGACTACAGCTATTAGATTTCAACATATTTGGCCTACTTTCGGTTTATAATTTCAGAGATTAGCTTGAGTTCAATAACCTGCAATCTGGCCCTGCCATTCTAAATTAACTGGCGACCGTGGACCTGCCCTCTGAATCCGCCTGAATTAAAAAAACTCGACAATGACACGCACCTCGGCAACGCGCATACGCCCCATATGACACATCCATCAGCGGCAATAAAAACACAGTGCCTGGCAGTAAATATTGCAAAAGCTGCGAAGAGTGTCAAGGTGCAGGGGCATCAAAATATGAATACATAATTAAGCACCCGAAATTTCAGAGATTCCAGAGCGCTTTTAAATGGTTGGGCTCTGATTACGGCGAGACTACAAAATTCACACCTTGTCATGGCGGCATTTTTGTGTGGGATGAACACTCTTAAAAAATGCGAGTTACTTGTAGAGGAGGCTCTTCAAGATATTAATATCATTGTTGACCAATATATGAGGCAAGGTCGCAATGAGGGAAAAGAAAACGATGTTAGTTATTGTGCAACAAATTTAAAACGACGCCAATTCGAAGTGTCAACAAAAACAGATACAGAAACAGAAAAAACAGCATGGACACAATGACAGGGCCAAAAGAAAGGTGCCAGCCAGGGCGAAAGTAAAAGTTTAACTTAAATTTATCTCGGTTTTGGGTTTCTTTTAGCACAACATACAACACATACGAACCGGCGAATTCCAGGCGGGAGAGTGTAAAACTCACGCAGAGCAGCTGCAGCCAAAAGTCTGCACTGTTCGGTTTCCTCACACACTTTAGCCACATTTTTTCTTGTTTTATTTTTTATTTTTGCTACTTTTAGCTTAAATTGCAATTGCAACTGAGATTATATAACTGGGCTATAAGAGCGCAATCTCCGAACTCTTCTTTGGTCTTTGGGCTTTGGGTCAAGGTCTGCTTGTTGACCGGCGGAACGACTACTGATCTCAAAGTGCAAAACTCTTTCTTAGGTACCAGCTCGAGAGCTGGTCATTGGACTCAATTTCGATTTCAATGCACAGCAAGACGACGGCGAAGCTGGCGAGGCATAATTCCGGCTGCCTCTGCACAGAAATTGATTCAGTTTTCGGTTTTCAGTTTTGGGTTTTACCACACACACACACTTCTTTTATTTTTGCGGGCACGCGCGGTCTCTTAAAGAGATTATATTCGGGGCTTGGATTATTTGTACCGCCTCAAAGTTCGCGGGCACGTGCTATTTGGTTGCGCTCTGGCAAGCCACTGACTGTCGAGTTCGTGTCCGAAGTCTTTCGTTTTCGGTGGCTGCCCGAAAAGTTCGCACCGGCATCCAAAAGCTCACTCAATGCGAAAAGCTTTCAGTTTGCTTTGGTATTTTATTTTAATTCGAGAAGCCGTTGTAAGGGTTACAAAAAAGTTTTGCAAAATCAAAACATTTAAAAAAAACGCTAATTTTAACTTTGAAGCCAGTTAAATTGATTGGTAATACCAAATTTTAAATGAAATTTTGGAACTACAAATGATTTTTCTTTTTTGCTTTACAAAAAGTTTGCAGAGAACGTTAGTAAGAAAGATTTTGGAGATTTTAAATTTATGTAATGTGCCTTAAAGTATGCCAAGATATATATATATATTTTTTAAATGCAAAAAAGGCAATCAAATATAAAAATTCATTAATAATATTATTAAGTAACTCTAAAACTCTTAGAAAATGAATTAAAAGAGTATCCTAAGAAACTGTAACTATCAATAACCATCACTTGGCCTTAACTTAAAGCTAATTCCCTGATTTTACGAATTTCCGAAATATCAAATTCGACTTCAACAAGGGGACCTTTAGCAAAGGGAGAAACCTCGTGGGTGCTGAGAAAATACGAGCCTGAGGCACTGAAAAAAATATGAATTTAGTGAATACAACATAAAAAAAATAAATAAAATCATACTTTTCCGAAACAAAATAACCCATTTGGGTATTGGGCATGTTGGAGTAGTGACTGCATCGCTGTGAAAAGAAGTCGAACCATCCTCCACACTGCTGAGCCCAAAAACCCCTTCCAGATACAATGGACTCTCCATAATAGATGGCTGCCCTATAGTGATTGCAATTGTAAAATCTCCAATTGCTGATATAACTGCAACCCCTTTGATTTAGCTGATCGAGATTGGGATAGAAATCAGCATGACCCATTGGCGGCAGCATGGAGAAAAAGAACGGATCGGTGTGTATGATGTCCACAAAGTCCGCATCACTGGAATCCAGTTTTTGCTGCAGCGAAGGTAGCATCATGAAGCCAGGACCCGCAGGATCGAGACCAGTAATCCTGGCCAGAGGCTGGCTCACATAGTTGGCCACCATTCCAGCCACTTGGGCACCCAAACTGAAGCCAATCAAGTGGATATCTTCACGCCTGCTTATGCCACTCGATATTAGATTATTTATCATCTGACCCAGACACTCGGATACGATTGGAGCATTATTCACGGCCCAGGGAAAATAGCAGGGCCAACGCACCAATGTCTCATAATCCACAGAGATTACATTTACAGGCTGAGTTTGGAGCAGCACATCTCTTACTTCCAGATTCGGTGTCAAATTTCTGTTTCCTATAAAGCCATGAATCAAAATTTTCAGTGGCAGACGAGGCTCGAAGAGATCTTTTTGTGGATTGAGGGGATCCAATTGAATGGGATCATCACGTGTTTGGCTAAAGAAAAATACGAATTAACAATGGTTTTTTGTATTAAATTTCACTCACTTGGTATAAAGCCAAAAAGTAACTCGCGAATTGGGACATTTTTGCTCGGCAAAAACACAAAATTCAGGCAGCCAGCCTCTCAGCTGTTTATCTGCTTTGGAGCAGCCAAAAATAACGAAGAGGAGGATCACAGTGCTATATTTGCTCATGACTAAAGTCTAAATTGATCTAAGCTCAGGCTCTAACGCAAGTTCTATTAAATTTGCACTGCCTAACATTGAAAATGGCATGGAAAATGAGGGCCCATATAAAAAGCAAATACTGGCAGCTGATAAAAAGTCAAGGTTGCCAAAGGTGGTATAGTTGGAGGGTGGGTGAAGAAACAGTGGGTCAAGGTCGCTGCGGGTGGGGTTAGGTGTTAGAAACTGGTAATGAAATTGCCGTACAAGAGCAGCGGAGAACAGTGATGATTTACAGAGGAAGGTTACTATTTATGAATAAAATTACAGGTAAATAAATTGGCTTAAATGCTGAAAGGTCGTATGTCATTAAATTAGTTTTAAAATATATTTAGAATGTATTATTAATGTTATAATAATAAAATTGCAAATTTGGGTAGCAAATTGGTTTAGTTGATTTTAATATTAGAAAGCTAATGGTATATTTAAATTAAGTTTAATAATTTCCTTTAGATATCTTTCTGTCAACCATGCTCATTAATGAGTTAATAAATTGTTTTTTAATCATAGCCTTATATTAACACATGTTTGACTTCCTATTTGCCGATTTTATTTTGAATAAGATTCAGATTGATTTTTACCTGCTGCAGACTACATCATCTGGTTTACCCCCAGGAAGTAATCAGCTTTTTTTTTGGAAATCTAACGTTAGTAGTTTATTTGCAATCTCTTTCATAATTTAATTTTCAATTACTAAAACTCTATCCTATCTAAACACATTTCTCGACAAGGGCTCTTCATCCTCCCGATCTATCCAGTCCAATTTCTTGTCCAAATCGCCCTCATCCATTTTTACAATCACTTTCACCGCCTCCAGTTCGAGAAAAGCCTCCAATAGCTGTGGCTCATAGTCATCGCCGATTTCATTGTGTTCCAGATTCAGATGGAATTTGGCCAGTGCCTGGCTATTGTCCACATCCTCCAGTTTGCCCAGGGCATAGGGTGAATTACTTGCAGTCTTGAGGAAGTAGGAACCTTTTATATCTTCCGATACGTGATATCCCATTTGGGCCTGGGCCCCGGTGGTGGGACAAAGTCTAAGGAGCTGGACCAACCAGCTGGAACATTGGCGTCCCCAAAAACCCACGGTGGAATTAATGGACTCGGCATAGAAACGAGGAGCTCTGTCATGATTGCAACTGCCCGGATCTTCCATATTCTCCTCCATGCAGCCAGGTTGTTGGGCTCCGAAGTTGGGATAGAAATCCACATGACCCGAGGCACGCAGCATTCCACGACCGAAAACATCCGTGTGGATGACGTCCACAAAGTCGCCATCGCTCGGGTCCAAACGTCTTGAATCGGGTCCCAAAATAAACAAAGGCTTGGCCGGGTCCAGTCCCGTGATCCTTCTCAGCTTTCTCTTCACATAGTTGGCCGTCTGACCCGCCACCTGACCACCCAAACTGAAGCCAATCAGGTGGATCTGTTCATTGGCCACTATTCTTCGATCCACCAGGTTGTTGATCAACTGCGCCAGACACCGACTGACCAGCGGAAGATTCTGCACCGCCTGAATGTAGCAGGGATATCGCACCAGTGGCCCATAGTCAATTGAGATCACGTACACATCCTCGTTGTCCAGAAGTGCAGGACGTATAAACGAGTTGGGCGCAAAGTCACGGTATCCTGTGTAGCCATGGATGAGGATCTTGAGGGGGCGTGGCGGCTGGAAGTCCCAGGGATTGAGGTCCAGCGGATTTAGCAGGATCGGATTACTCCGAGTGGAGCTTATTTAATTGTGAGTAAAAAAAAAAATTATAGAGTCATCCAAAATATTATTTAAAATCATTGAAAGTATGTGACAATAGAACAAATTTTTAAAATGGTTTTGCAACCAGAAAGCCAAATTCATTTAATTAAAAAAAACCCTTATTAAAGGAATCAAGAGTAAATTATATTAAAAATTAACTAAGGCTTTTTAAGGAAATTTTTTTCTCATAGTTTACGCCATGTTTATGCATTAATCCTTTTAGTAAAAAAAATAACATGTTCCTTAAATAAAGGAAATTTGTTTACTTTTTAATTTATATGCAAAGTTCTCTTTTTATTCTTTAAGAACTTTGTAAGTTGTTCTAGCCCTGATACTTACTTGGAATATAGCCAGAAGGAGACATTTTTATTGGGACATTCCCCACGCACCACTTGGCAGGCGGGATCTAGGAGACCCACCAGCGGATTGGCAGATGCACTCCAAACAAAACCTATCCAATGATTTAGTAAACATTATAAGCTCTTAACTTCTGGATTCACTCACCCAGCAAAGAGAGCCACGCAGTCGACTTCATGTCGTCATTAACTTGAAATAGTACTCGTACTTCTAGGGCCGTGTGTAGACTGGGTTCCGGGCACCGAGAGTCGTTGCTATTTAAGTGGAGCGGCTATCGCAGGCAGCGATCAGTCTATTGGTAACTGATTGAGCCACTGGCATACATAAGCACCCACACAGGGGCAAATGGTGGTGTCAAATGGTGTGTTGGATTGGTCTCAAACAAGAACGAAAGTAGTCGAGGATCGCGATGTTGGCGGAGCTGTTATGTTGTGTTTGAAAAGCGAGTGGCTTATTTAAGGGACTTTGAGATTTACTTTCGCTTTAAGAACCAATTTGATATGGTTTCCGCCTTGAAATCGGAAATTTCATAAGCTGTTGTATATATATATATATGTATATTAAGTGGAAAAGTTGCAATTATTTAAAGCAATGGCACTTTTTGTATTTATATTTGCTGGAGATTCTTCCTCGTTAGTGAAATAATGTCAACTGTGATCTAAAGATAATAATAACTTCACTAACTTAATAACTTCCTTAAACTTATGTTTTTTTTAATTAAAAAGTTCGTTTAAAAGATAAGACCTAACACACAATTAAAACTAAATAACCAAACCCTAATGACTAGCAAAAAGTGTTAATTTGCCTAGTTTATTCGATAGGCTTTTACGCTTGAACTATTTTTTTGCGTCAGTGAAAGTAAAGTATTGACTAATTTCTAAGCAAATTAGTTGGTCCATTTGCTTGGCCAACACATTTATTAATTGGCAGTTTTTTCACTTAATTCACAACTGAAGTGTCAATATTTGAATCCACACCCGATTGAATTGAACTACTGCTACACAATGTGGCATACAATTTTCTGACACTCTTTTTAAAGTAATATAATTAATTTGGCTGCTTTTTATATGTTGTAATTTTCAGTTACATTTATTTTGAACGGCTTTTGCATTAACAGACTCTGTTAAATTAACATAAAATTTAATAGTGACATAGCAGTCAGCTTGTGACACTTAGCATTAACAGAAAAGGGGGATTCCTGAAACTTATAAAAATATTTTCTTAAAAACGTATAAGTTGATTAATATTCCATAAAACATTGCGGAATCATGCAGAAGGGAATTATTTAATATATTTAATAAAAATTAAAAAACTAAACAACTTATCATCAATAAATAATGTAAAGTTGTAATACGCATTTTAAGTGTATGAAATGGGCAATACATTTTAAATTTAATTTAAATGACAGTCGTGAGAGCCCCTAACTTTTTGGTATATTTGCATGTTTCGGCTACGGTCTCACTAATAAATATATAATATTTTCGAATGTTTTGAAAATTATCAGTAAAACTGAATTTTAAGCATCGCTGATTAGGATCGCCCGTGTCCGAAGCACCTTACATAATGGCCAAACAACAGACCTGGGATCAAATGCGTCAGATCTTCGTCCAGGCGGTGAACGCAGTGCATCCTGAGAAGATATTCGCCGATTTCCAGAGCTTCGATTTGCGTCCCCAATGCCAATGTGGAGAAAAAGCTTGTGAGGCATGCATTAAACTCAATGGAGAACGACAGGATATTAGCGGAAAGAAATGCCATATTGTGGGCTTTGGAAAGGCCGTGCTGGGTATGGCCAACAAAGTGCATCAGGATCTGGGCACCTTTTCGGCCGGCGGAGTCCTAAGTGTCCCCGTGAACACCCTAAAACAGTTCCATCAAACCATTGCACCTGGTTTGACCATACACGAAGGAGCACCCAACAATCTGCCGGATGAGGTGGCTCTAAAAGCAGCCCAGGAAATCAAGAGTTTGGCCGAGAGGATGACCCCCCAGGACATACTTTTCGTCTTCATTTCTGGTGGAGGATCTGCTCTACTACCTTTACCCCGTCCACCTTTAACCCTGGAGGACAAACGCTCCATTGCAGACAAGCTGATGAAACGGGGAGCCAGCATCCAGGAGATTAATGCCGTGAGGATTGCCTGTTCGGACATCAAAGGTGGACGCTTGGCTAGGTTTGCCAGACAGGTAGGACTCCTGGTGACCTTTGTGCTCAGCGACATCATAGGAGATCCCCTGGAACTGATAGCCTGTGGACCCACCATTCAACCCGGAGTACAAACCTCTCCAACCGACATTCTCAAGAAGCATCAGATGTGGGATGAGCTGTCCCCAGAGATACAAAAGGTGTTTAAGGCACCTGAAAAGCCGGAGAAACTCGTACTACCAGAGCACAAAATCTTTGTGGTGGGCAGCAATGTGATAGCCACTTCAAAGGCTTCAAAAGAAGCCCAGAAACTGGGCTACATTCCCTGCATCCTAAGTTGCAGCGTTCAAGGCGATGTGACCCAAGTGGCCAACGACTATATGCGATTGCTGCAAGGCATCCAGGAGGCCAGACAGCAGGGCATACGTGATCCGCAGCTGAGGGAAAAGTATGCCTTTGGAGAGAGTAGTTTTCCGGGGTTCAAGAAGTGCCTAGAAGAGCACTTGAGCAGCAAGAAGCCACTGTTCCTCATCTGCGGAGGCGAGCCAGTCATAAAAGTTTGTATAATCATACCTCAAAATGTCTCAAATTCACTAATTTACCTTTTTAATCTAGGTAACTGGGCAGGGATTGGGTGGCCGGAGTCAGCATCTGGCTTTGCTGATGTCGCAGGCTCTGCATCGCGACGAGACCATGCGGAATTGCACCTTTTTGAGCGCCGGAACCGATGGCATCGATGGACCCACCGATGCTGCAGGCGCCATTGGAGACAGCATCGTTGTAGAATCGTATCTAAGTGATCATACCCTCGATGAACTGGCCGAAACACTGCGAAATTGCGATAGCTACAACTTCTACAAGAATCTCGGACAGGGCGAACACCATGTGATCACTGGCCACACGGGAACCAATGTGATGGATTTGCATTTCCTGGTCGTGCCTTAGTATACCAAACCCCCCATAAATACTTCTATGTATACATATACTATATACATAAATATGGGGCAATTCGTTAATGGAGCTGCTCTTGAACCGCAGTCGTTTGAATTTGTTTTTACGATTTTCCTCTTTAATTTTGCTCTATGAAATTTTTACGAGTTTTTTCATTAACATTTTTAATATCCATTCAAATTCAAATAATTTTGTGATCTTTATGCTCTGAGACATTCTCCAGTGACAGCATAAACTGGCAATTAGCTTTCGTCGTCGCCGGTTATGAAATCATTTTGGAATTGTCTTGATTGTAATTATGTGACAGTCGACAGATGTGATAAATCAATTTGTATATGCCATCACCACAGCATAGCTTAAGTATATATATAAATATCTTGAGTAATTTCCATTTCTTTTGTACTGCGTCTCCATAAAAATGCGCTGCTAATAAATCATCTTAATTGTTGGAAACGCCAAAGGCAAACAGTAGCCAGCGAGCCAACTACAACAATAGCCCAGCTATAATTGCAATTAAAAATGTAAATTTATTTGCTTCGCTGTATTTTTAGCAAACTGAAACACTGAATAACTGAAACTAAAACGCGACGCGCGCCCAGTTGCAATTTATAAAATTTTACTAGCTAACACTTTGACTGCATATTTTTCTAATTGTGATTGTTTTGCCCGCTTCTATCAGCACTTCTCATTGTTTACTCCCTGCGGTATAGTATAATTATTTCGCCGCGTATTTGCCACAATTATTTAATAATCACATTCGCCAGTCACACTCTCTTGTGCTATTTTTGTTCGATTAGGTTTGTTATTAACTACATTCTGTAGTTTATGCATTTGCCGCCAACGGGGATGACTGAGCTCTGATTCCTTTGAAACTATACTATGATATGACTGAGATCTATCTATCTGCTGCGCGCAAAAGTCATTTGTCTCTGCGCTGAACTGTCCTCAGAAATCAATGTTTGCAAAGTACATGAATGACTCAAGTCTTCATTAAGAAAGAAATTTTATAGATTTATCAATATTAAAGCCCAAACAAAATCTTATTATTTTTTTTCTACAACATATTTTAGAGAAGTTTAAATTTACATTTGGTTTAACTTAAACAGAAAACTTTTGAAATAGTATAAGATTACGTTGAAATTGTCTTTTATTCCAATTACATAGTCCCTCTTAATCTAAAAATCTGATTAAATATGGGAAAGCAACAGCACGTAACTGGAATAGTATGAGATATAGCTGATCTTCTAAGAGATTACCAGGAAGAGGCTGATCTCATTACATGCCTCATGTGTCAATGGACTGCCTTTAATCAAGAGCTTGGCTGCCTACTGGTGGTCATGCTGGGCCCACTCCGAGATCCATGGCAGGCGATTAGAATCGCTTCCGTTTCCGCTTCGGATGGCACAGATGTCATCATCATCGGCGGCAGGCTATATTTAACATTTTTATTAGCCACTGACCAGTGACCACCAGCAGCCTCCCATGCTCGTGGAATGTCGCGTCAATTTGTCTGGCCGGGCATGGCAACAATCTCGGCGAGCATCTCATCCATCTCATCCTCCTCCTATAGCATCAGTACAGCGGAGCATCGGAGCAGCAGATACGGCCATCGGCCATGGAGTGCAAGTGTCGCGTTGATTTATTAATTAAGCATTGGAGCGAGGCAGCTGAGCAGCTGAGCCACGCGTGGCAGCTGCTGACGACGACGATGCTAATGAAGTACTCGCTGGAAATTTTAATTAACGATCCCCGATTCGATCGCCATATAGCATAGATTCTTGTTCTTGTTCTTGTGTTGACTTATGACATCACACCCAGAATGCCCAGAATACCCAGAATGCCAAGAACACTAAGCACCAGCTGCCAGCAGCCAGAAGCGATCTCATCGCCAGACAAACTGACGACGCTTATCACATGTACGACATGTACGTATGTACGCTCAAAAAATGCTGAACATTGCGCATACGCCGCGTGGCCCCAAAGCAAACAATTAAACACTATTCACCGCACGTCGCCAGCGGGGCGACATACATAAATTTCATTCGTTCGTCTGTTCTTAATTTGTCTAGACAATGGCAAAGTTCACTACGAACAAATATAATATAGGCAAAGTTCAATTAACGCTCGTGTCACATGCCTTAGTTGGGGGCAAATGGATACAAATTCGAAAAAGTGAAGGAACGGAAAGAAATTTGCATACTGCTGGGAAAACGTCTTGACTAACCCCCATGTGAGTCACTTTCCAAAGACTTCAGATGGAATCTCTTAATTTGAAGCAGATGTGTGTGGGGGAGTATTTCGGCAGATTTTAGGGGGTTCAAGCATGGTGAACTTTTGCGGCAATGAACTTGACAAAGCGCTGGTAATTGGGCAACAAAATTCGAAGAACATTAACAACATTCTCTTAAAACACGAGCTTAACTTATTATAAAATTCCAAAAAAATATATTAACAAAATAACGTAAGTATTTGTAAAATAAAAGACAAGTCATTTTCAATAAATAATATTTCGGATACATTTTTGGTTGATTTTAATATTTGGTCGTTTTGATTGAAGATTTAGATTTAGAAGATTTATGGTATACAAATAGAAAGGGGACAAGTTGTAAAAACTCGTATAAATTACAATTTGATACGGTATACAGCCATAAAATATGTTTAAAACTTTAGATACGCTTCAGTCTAAATAAAGTATAAACTTGCGACTAATTTTTCATAGCCTTAGACGTTGTCTGAAACTTAAAATCGAAAAATTTGCTTGAAGAGTTGGCAGATTCTTGAAAAAGCGATGAACTGGCTGGTTTTTGGTCTTCTACTTCTCAGCGTATCCTTTGCGATGGAACAGGACGAGGCCACGCCCTATATTTGCGATGGAAAGGACGATAGGGTCTGTGACCAGTACCGCTGCATGTGCCGAAGGAAGCCTTCCACGAAACCGGACCAATATTTCACAAGAACCGAGTATGAATTTTGAAGATAAATTATAGACACTTGTCTTTTGTTTTTGGGGGTAAATCTCAGGCCTTGGCTTCCATCAGCTCGTCCTGTGATTGTGACCACAGTTCTGGGGACGTGATCATCTTTGGGATGGCAGGCTGCTCAACCAGCCTTAACTTCCGATCATTGAGCAATTGCCGCGCCAGATAGATGAATGGTTTATCCAGATTAAAGCCCGATTTGGCCGATATATCAAAGTACATTAGGTTCTTCTTGCGGTGGAACTTCACTTGAGTGTCATCCACTTGGCGCTTTTCCTTCAAATCCACCTTGTTTCCGCAGATCACAATGGGAATGTTGTTGCAGACGCGAACCAGGTCACGATGCCATCCTTCCAATTTATCATAGCTCTTGCGGGAGGTCACATCAAACATGATAATGGCGCAGTGGGCTTGTATATAGTATCCATCGCGCATTCCGCCCAATTTCTCCTGACCAGCGGTGTCCCATACGATGAAAGGAATCCCTCCGCGATCAGTGCGAAAGGTCAAACGATTCAAACTCACACCCACCGTGGGCGCATACTTCCACTGGAATTTACCAGATAAATGGCGTTCTATAAAAGTACTTTTTCCCACCTCCGCTTCGCCAAGAAGGACCAACTTGAATCCGTCCATTGTGCTTTATTTTCTATAAACAAATTTGGATTTTGTAGTTTGTAAGTGTTGTTTGCAAGTGTTGTTGGCTCAGAGGTTTGCTTGTGTCTGAGCAAGTTTAGATCAAATTGCTTGGAGGTACAAAGTTTGGCTTGCTATGTCAGATAAACTAAAAAGCTGTTTGAAAAATATTTAAAATTATTTTTAGAATAATTATAGCAATATCATCCTTTTTACTTTTACTTGACTACTAAACAAGCAATATCAAACCTTAAAACCAAAAACTTTAAAAGTCTTTCAAAAGTCATCTTACAAAGTATAACTTAAAAAGGTTTTCTACAAACTCTTAGCTCCCCAAAACAGCTTTTCCGATCTTGCAACATTTTGAGTACTGATGTTCATCGAAACAATTACGGCTAACCGATGTTGGCATTAATAATTTCTGGCTGCTACTTGCCATTTATCAAATGCAGTGATCTACCCATATGCCGAATGGGCAGCTTAATGTCAATCGGCTCTTTGCGGGGCTCTTGGTTTTGTTTTTTTTCTTTGGTTTTTATTGAGATTTCTGAGCTCTGGGCCATTAATGCATTACAAATAGGTGCGGCAGACCGCAACAGCAACATGGGTAAAAGGGACTTGGCCGCAGACGCTTCGGTGCCGTTGACCAACGTGACTGAGATTGAGATTGAGGACTCTGGCTACCTGAAAAAAAATAATGAAAAACGAACAAAAAATCAGGCAGCAGACGACCTCAAGTGTAAGGCAGCGCAATCGAGTTGCTGGTGCAGCAGCAACAGCAGCAGCAGCAACATGCAACATCCACAGTCCAGAAGCAGTTCAAGTTTGCGCCGAGGAATTCCTTGCCGCTGAAATAATTAAGCATTGCAACATTGTTTATTGTAGCTCTTGCTGCTGTTGTTGCTGCTGCTGCTGTTGTTGTTGCTGCTGCTGCTGGGGTGTTGCAGGCTCGTTTAACAAGGCAGCCAAGTTCTCAACAAGTGCCTCCTCCTGTTCTACAAGTTTTTGCCTCTCCACTTGATTTTTTTTTTGTTGGCCGTTGGTGCCACTCTAAGGAATTTCCATTTTATTTACATTTAGAATGTGCCGAACGGACTCGTCGCATGTAAAGCGGGCCAAATCGAAAGCTATTAGACCTATTAGCATATCGTAGCTGGAACATGGCAAATTTAGTGGCAACATTGTTGCCGTCGCCCCGATAAAAGCACAAAAAACTCATGCGTCCACGTTTATTACCGCATCGAAATGCCATAATGCCGTCGTATAAAAAGAATAGGAAGTAAGGCCATATATATATATAAATAAAGAAAAATAAATGTAGCAAATGCCAATCGATTGGCGTTCAATTTACAGCGTTTACCTGATTGTTGTGGCCAGCCCACAGTTAACTTAATTGCCACTTCCCAAGCACTTTATTTACGGAAATGCGGGCTGCCAAGCGACAATTTTTACACTACAAGAAATATATATATTTTTTTGGTACAATTGGTACAAAATAAATTAACAAAATAAAGAAAAATTAAGTTGAATGTATAGTATTTTATTTTAAAATGGTGAAACCGCCTATTAAAACTCATTGGTTTGCAAACTCAAATTTATAGGCCTATTCTATCTTTGTACTGCTAATTTACTCAAATTATTCAAATAATTATTTAAAAGTTAAGTTAAACACAACAAACGTATTTTATAGATAACCAATGGTGCAATTTTTCAAAATTATAGAATGCCTAAACTTAATATATTTTGGACTTCATTTTTTGATGATACCTTTTTTATATAATTCCAGAGCTACCTTAAATTAATTACTTTTTAAAAAATATAAAATATTTATAAAATCTAAAATTTTTTAATTTTTTTTTGAGGATATCTTTTATTAGTTAAATCAAAACACTAACTGTAAGTTAATTATCTTTTGAGATATATATTTCCCCAAGTGCATCGACTGTGTGAAAGTGTTGTCAATGCTGCCGTTTGGCCATAGCCTACAATTGAGATCTGGTGATCGAGTTGGAAAGGAAAACAGCGAGAAATAATAACAACAACTAAAAATTTTCCATAACCTCAAAAAAAGGGGGGGAGAAAAAATATAAAAAAAATGCGGCGGCTATTTATAAAATGCGCAATCTGTGAGATGCGTGCGGCTATCTGTCCGTCGGTCTGCCCCTCAGTCTGTCGATGCCGCCAGCTGTGTGCCAAGACAACGATGCCCCCTCAAACCCCCCAAAACCCCCCTTTTTAGAGCGCCCTCCCTCCCCCCAGCCCCCTTCACTGTGTTGTCTGCGTTTATTGATTTATTAGAAAATTCCAATGAACAAGTTTTAATACACGACACACAACGAACGATGAAGTCGATGTTGTCAGCATGCTTGTTGTGCTTTTTCCACTCCTTGTTGTTGCTGCACTTGTGTTCCTGTGGCAAAGACAATATATGGAAAGGAAAGGCTGTGCAAAAGAGATGGGGAGATACTTGCAGCAGCTGGAAAAATTAACAAGTGCAATATTTTAATTACGCTTCAGCAGCAGCAGCAGCAACAACAACCACAACAACAACAACAACGAGGGCCACAAGATCAGCAGCATCAATTAAGTTTGCTGCATGGATTTGGGCAGAAAGCGTTGCCAGACTGATTTAAGCTGGGCATATGAGGCGTATGATTGATATGGTATACCTTACATAGTAGTTTAGGTATCTCTCTGATTATTTTTTAGTAAAAAATTAAAGATTAATATGAATAATGAATAAAATAAAATATTTGTTTGAATATTATTTTAAAATTTTATGGTTCCATTTAGACCAGGAATTTTAGAAATTGTATATCAAATTTTAAATGGAAAACTTCAATCGGAAATAAAAATTAATGTGACCATCAAAGTTGTAATTATTCATTATACTTTAATAAAAAAATTCTACTATTTTTTATTACGTTTTGTTAGAGTACGTTCTTTGTTCAAGTTTCTGGTATTACTCAAGTAACACATTAATTTCTAAGCTGATAAATGCTCCCATAAAACTATATTAAAGTTATTAATAATTGAAATACAATTTAAGTACCCCATTAATTTGTATTATTCTAGCATATCGACATTAACTAGCATTACTTACTATATACTTCTCATTTCTAAGATTGTCTTACACCACTATTACTATAAAACTCTCACTTCAGCCTATCTTAACTAGATCAAGTTGCTTTAGTTTTTAGCTAGCCAAACCATCCGGCAACGCCGATGGACTCGAAAGATTATCTACTCCAAACTCTAAGCATTTTGCAATCAATTTAGATTTGCATTAGCAACGCTGCAGTCTCGAGAAGTCGGAGAAGCCGGAGATTTAGAGCCAAAAATAAACCGAACCAGTTGCCGCAGCGCCGAAAAGTCAAATGTGTAACAGCTTTAGCTTAAAGAGAGGCCCAAAGAAAGTCGAGATCGCAGCTGAGACAGAAGACTAAAGACAGAAGACTAAAGACAGAAGACTAAAGACAGAAGACTAAAGACTGAAGACTTAAGACTAAAGATTGTGTAGACTGTAGACTGGAGACTGTGGACCGAAGACTGGCGACTGAGAGAGTTGAAATATTGTAATTGTGAGTCGGGCTTGTTTGTTATTGTTGCCTTAGCGGTTGCTTGTTGTTTTTTTCGGCTTGATTAATAATTAATCGCACTCGCACACACAAAAACACACACACACACGCAGAGAAAAACACTCGCTTGTTTTAATTACTCAACTTAAATGGCGCTTTGAGCGACTTAAGCAACTTGCTTTTGTGTTCGAGAGTGTATATGCGATCGACTCTCACAACTACGAGCTCAAAACTAACTAACTAGCTGCTGGTTTGTTTTTGTAGTTGCTGCTGGGCCGCCGATGTTGCTGCCGTGCTGTTGCTGTTGCTGCTGGTAAAGTGTTGTTGTTGCTGGTCGGCTCTGCTCCGTCTCCGGATCGCTTTTGCCTGCCTGTTTGCCTTGCCTCGGCCGCTTTGGACGCTCATTCAGTTTTTTGCGCTCAACGCTCGTTGTACGGAACCGAAAAAGCGTTCGTCCCACAGTGTGTGTGTCGCCAAATCGAAAAGATCGTAGATCACAGATCGCAGATCACAGATCGCATATTACAAGCCGCCTGACACGATTCCCCCCACAGTCTCTAATCACTTTTTTTTGCTGCTGTTGTAATCTTTCGCGGTTTTTGCGGCCATAAAATAAAGTAAAAATAAGAGTTAACGCTGATAGTCGCGCCTGAAGAACAGCGCAGAAAAACACAGATCTCTCGAAGTTCTCTCGTTTCCGCGATCGCTCGTCGTCAGTCTCTCCGATTTTTTGATACCGATTCGGAATTAAATAAATATATATCTTCTCTGTGTGCTATGTGTTAGTGCGAGTGATGTGTCTGTGTGTATCAGATCCAAAAGCAAAATAGCCAAAAATCTAAGCTTGGCCAACCGTCATCATCGTCATCATCATCATCGACATCAGCAACCATGTGAAGTGCCAGTGATTTCCATAAGCTAAAATCGAAATCGCCATAGAGAGATAGATAGGTCGAAAAGTATCTTGTGGATATCTGAGTCGAACCTGTGTATAATGTATGCAACGTTCGCGAACTGCCAGAATTGGTTGTTGTTGCAGTTGCAGCCAAAGGATTTGTGGATTTTGGAGCGTAACTGAGCGGCGTGCAGCAGGTGCACCAGGTAAGCTAAAACAGAAAATACATACTAGCAAATAATGCGCATACGCCATGGTGGCCGCGTATCCAATTCGAGATCAATCGCCAATTGAACGACTCTGGCAAACAGCTGACAGGCTAAACTGGAACTCGGGTTCATTTAAATGAATCATATATAGGAGTATATACAAGTATGTGTATGTTTATGTGGGCACTGAGGCAAGCTGATAAATTATATAAATCTGAATGAAATGCGTGGGTTCAAGCATTTAATATATATCTATATATATATATAAGGGTTAAATGTGTATTAAAGAAATAGAAATGTTTATGGCAAATCGGACAATCACAACATTTCATCACAATTTTCTAAGCTATCAAGATATAAAATTATACTGAGAAGAATTTACTTTTGTTAATAAAATTAAGATAACTAAAAAT